AATACAAATGCCCTGAACCCTACCTCTCTGGACTTTTAACTTTATAGTTAGCTGTGGGTCAGACTGGACTCAGTGCCAGCTGTCTGCCACCCAAATTACTACAGACCCAAATCACTGCTCTATATACCACATTCACTTTAATAGCTTGGCTAGCCAGTAAAATGAAAGCTCAGCAGCTTGGTTCTCTTCAAAAGGAGATCCTGAAAACTCTCATCCCTGAACTCTACAACCAGAAGTTCGTTTGCAAAGAAAAGGACAACTACCCCATTATAGTCAGATGTCCTTGGGAGTGAACAGTACAATGCTAAATGTTCTCCCCTGAATCAAGATAGCATTCCCGTGCTTTACTCCATCATTATTCTATCATCTCCAGACTCCTCAGCATTTCCAAAAGGTGCTAATACACCTTTGCCAAACAGAAATGAAAAAAAGACTAGCTGCCCTTGAAATAGTAACTCAATCTAAGGAGGGAAGGTTTATTGCCAGAAGAATTTTGTTTCTTATTTACCAAGTCCCTCAAACTAGATTTATGATCGGGGAGAACACGACAAAAATGGTTTTTAGAAAAGGCACTTGGCAGCAGGGAGAAGCATGGCATGGAAGAGGCCAAGATAGGATGCAGAGAGGCTGGTTAGGAAGCTCTGATAGTCCTGCCATGGCCAAAACAAGCTCCTAATCTGAAACAGGGTATGGTCCTACAGTCCTTAGCTGACTACCTGCTCACTGGAGACAGTCTTATTCATGAGTATCATCCACAGCATCTCGTACCTTGCCATCACATGGTAGGCACTCAAATGGTCATAGACCCATAAACCACCACTCCTGTAGAAGTTCCAGTGTATATATCAAAGAAACTAAGGCCCAGAGAACTTAAAAGTGATCTGCCCAAGGTCACAGAATGGGTGAGTGGTAAAGAGCAAAGAATAAAGGCTTTGGAGGTAAGAAGGTCTGTGTTCACATTCAAGGTTGCTGTGAGGCCTTGGGCAGGTCACTCAACTCAACCCTTTTCAGTCTGTTTTCTCATCTGCAAAATAAGAATACCTACTTTCTGTAGAGTTGCCATGAGGATTAAGACATACTACCCCCTTAGATACAATCACCAATTTACAGGAAATTCAGAACACAGAAAACTCTACAGGAAAAACAATGCTTTTACTTCAACAAATAAAGGTAATAACAACAAATAGAAGTGAAATAATAAATTAAGAGACTTAAAATATGTAAAAACCAATTAAAATGTATGGATCTTATAAAAATCTTAAGACAAATAAACCGTAAAAATAAGATTGTGACATTTAGGAGATAACTGGAAATGTGAACATAATCTGGATTTTGATGGTATTAAGGAATTGTTAAATTTTATAAGGTATGAAAATGGCATTATGGTTCTGTTTGTTTTGTTTTTTAAATAAACTTTACCAGGGTGCCCGGGTGGCTGAGCCCGTTAAGCATCTGCCTTCGACTCAGGTCATGATCCCAGGGTTCTGAGATCAAGTCTCACTTCAGGCTCCCTGCTCAGCAGGAAGCCTGATTCTCCCTCTCCCTCTGTCTTTCCCCCTGTTCATCCTCTCTCTCAAATAAATAAAAATAAAATCTTTTTAAAATAAATAAACTTTACCCCCAATGTAGAGCTGGAATTCACAACTCTGCAATCAAGAGTTACATGCTCTCCTGACTGAGCCAGCCAGGCATCCCTGTGGTTATTTTAAAGTCATCCTGTAGAGACATCTGGGTGGTTCAGTTAGTTAAGTGTCTGCCTTCAGCTCAAATCATGATCCCAGGGTCCTGGAATCAAGCCTCACATCGGACACTCTGCTCATTGGGGCATCTGCTTCTCTCTTTCCCTCTGCAGCTCCTCGTTTGTGCTCTCTCTGCCAAATAATAAAATCTTTAAATAAATAAAGTCATCCCTTAGAAATACATTGTGAAATATTTAAGGGCAAAATAGGACAGTTGAAATTTTCTTCAAAGCACAGGATGAGGTAGGGGTATAAATGAAATATGACTGACTATGACTTGAAGCTGAGTGATGGGTATACATCATGCTTCATTTACTCTGTCTACTTTGTGTCTGTTTTAAAATTTCCATGTTAAAAATAATTGGCTATGTTTCAATCCTGGCAACTCCATTTACTAGCAGTAAGACTGTAGGCATATTCTTAATCTCCTGGTGTCTCAGTTTCCCATTTATATGAAGATTAACAGAATCTACTTCTTAGGGTTGAGGGGAGAATAAATATGATTTTTATGTGTATAGGTAAATTTATATATATATCATTTACGTAACATGTAATATTACATATACATAACATGTAAATGATATAAATTTACACATCTTACATGATTTATAAAGATTTATATACACACAAAAAAAAAAACTTAGCACATAGTAACCTTCAATAAACATCCACTTTAGTAGAACACAAGGTACAAGCATGGTATCTCAACACAGTGAGCACCCAATACATGGCAGCAATTATTAATATGAAACACAGATTTAGGACCTCGTCAGATTTTTTAATCAAATATTCAACTAGTCTCTTCGACAGAAAGCCAAAAAACCAAAAAAAATAAAAAATAAAAAATAAAATAAAAAAATAAAAAAAAAGAAAGCCAAAAAACCCTCTGGTAAATGTCCCCAGTGGCAGCTCTAACATTCCTAGTCTCTCCTGAAAAACACAGGATGACCTGACACAGAATCAGGATCTGACTAATGTTTAACATGGAAGTGCTGCTCTCTGGAAGCAAGCAGGGAGGGCCACCTTATTTCCCCCAACCAGGTAATTTAAGGCACATTTTCTAATATTTGCTGACAGAACAAAGAGATGATCAATGTTCACATCAGCCTTCAAAGCGATTTGGTAAAACTACAGAAAATAAACACCTAGCTAGGACCCACCCAGCAGGATAAAAGCTGACAAAGAAATGGCAATTTTTCTGAGCAAATATACAAGTAATAGATGAGCTCTGAGAGACTACTCTTTAGTTTTGGCATTCCCCTCTCACCCCTCTCCCTTCTCTTAAGAGAAGACAAACTCTCAACATACTTCAAAAGTGTGACTGTTGCTGGATTAATTTATTCCCTGAAATGATGTGATTATAGGCAAAGAGGTCATTCTCATCCTTCTACCCAGTTTAAATACAAATTGGCTTGGGAACAGTAGACTTTTTCCACCTGCTCCAGAAGGCTATGAGAAGGCATTATCCACCCTTTAAGAATGAGACACATCCTCCTCCCTTAGCTCATTAGCAGGAATAGCGATGCCACTCAATTTAGTCACTCATGTGTTTCTGTTCAAGATGTTCCCGTCAGACAGAATGTCCTCTCTCCATCTCTAACAACCTAAAATCTCCTGTGACCATACTTTCTGGGGGGAAAAAAGGGAGAAGAGAGAGAGGCACAACAACTGAGAAGAGCTATCTGGGTGTTGCTTCTGTATAGTCTGGGAGATATCTTCCAGTCACAGAAATATTGGTTCACAATCTAAAAGTACAACCAGACAGTATTAGAAACTAAAATGGTCCCAGATGATATATGGTCACTATCTTTATCGTATAAAACCCAGTGAAATGCTCATGCCTCCATAAATGTTCCCGGAGTACCACATCCCCACAAATGAAGCAATCTCTCCCTCCTCTGAAACCCCATCTATTTACCTCTTTATGATACTGTTACCTGAGAGTTCATATTATGGTTCTTAAAACTCACTTCTGTAACTATGCACCAGCCAGCATGATTTACAATGAAAAATATGGGCAGCCCAGGTGGCGCAGCGATTTAGCCCCACCTGCAGCCCAGGATATGATCCTGGAGACCCGGGATTGAGTCCCCCATGAGGCTCCCTGCATGGAGCCTGCTTCTCCCTCTACCTGTGTCTCTGCCCCTCTCTCTCTCTCATAAATAAATAAAATCTTAAAAATAAAATAAAATGAAAAATATAAACAATGCTAAGTGTTGACACGGAGCAACAGGAATTCTCTCTCATGTACCACTGATGAGAGTGTGATCTGGTATGGTATGCCTCTGAAAACTGTTTGTCAATAATTACTAAAGCTGAACATACGCCTACCCTGTGACTTGAGACTGAAGACACTGCTCCCCCTGAAAAGTTTTTCCTAGTCTTTTGCCTCATCACTGCCCTATCTAAATCCTTCCATCATTTTTTCTCCTGGAGGAAGAGGCTGACTAGAGGCTGACTCAGGCCACTCTTCCTGATCACTCCAAACCAGAGAGGTCTCCTCTTCTATGGAAAACTCTGCCATTTACCTATTAACTGACAAACGGCTTGTGAATTCTCCTATAAACTGCATCATCTGGTTTTATACTGTACTCTTTAACTTTTAGAAATGTTATCTAACTTGCTCACAATGTTATTGTGAGGAATTTAAGATATGGCACTCCATGGGCTCCATAAGTTTGGATGACTGATTTCAGCACTGTCCCCAATCTTAAAGAATAGGCATAGGCAGATTTCCTCTTCTCTAGACCCCATAAGTAATGCTAAATTGTTGGAAGGGTATGCTCAACAGTCCCTCCATTTTCCATTCCTAAGGGCTCTGTGCTGCAAAGTGTTCAAAGAAGGCTAGCACTGACACTGGCAGTGGGCTTCAAGAACCACAATTTAATCACAATTAGTAAGTCACAAGCTGAGCAAATGCCAGAAACCACACCTCAAATAATTTACTTGCAAGCAAAACAGAGAACTATTTTATTTCAAAACTGCATATAAAAAAACTGATATAATAAAACTTAAAATAATTCAATATGAAACTGAATTTTCTTCCTTCCTAAATAAGAAGCTAGACAGTATCAAATCTTTCTGGAAGCCAGCCAGAGAACTGATGTGAGGAGAATAGGGAAAGCACTAAGCAGATGTCTGGACACCCAAACCTGAAGGACAATGTCATCCCCTACCCAAATGTTCTTCACACACTGCATGTGAGATACCTCAGCAATAGAGGATAAAGGGAGGTAAAATAAAAGGCGAGGGGAGGCACACCTGGGTGGTACAGCTGATTAAGGGTCTGACTCGGGGCAGCCCAAGTGGCTCAGCAGTTTAGTGCCGCCTTCAGCCCATGGCCTGATCCTGGGGTCCTGGAATCGAGTCCCACGTTGGGCTCCCTGCGTGGAGCCTGCTTCTCCCTCTGCCTAGGTCTCTGCCTCTCTCTCTCTCTCTGATGAATAAATAAATAAATTAAATTAAATTAAAATAAAGGTCTGACTCTTGGTTTTGGCTCAGGTCATGATCTCAGGGTCCTGGGGATCAAGCCCCAAGTCCTGGCTCTGTGCTCAGCAGGGAGTCTACTTAAGATTTTCTCTCTCTCTCTCCCTCAATCCCTCTCTTAAATAAATCTTTTATATATTTTTTTTTATTTTTTAATTTTTTTTAAGTGGAAGGCAGGAATGCCTGGGTGGCTCGGTAGGTTAAGCAGCCAGCTCTTGATTTTGACTCAGGTCATGATCTCAGGGTCCTGGGATGGAACCCCATGTTGGCCATTTATTTTCTCTCCCTCTGCCCTTCCATCTGCTCATGCTCTCTAAAATAAATAAATCTTAGGCACCTGGGTGGCTAAGTCAGTTAAGCATCTATCTTCGGCTCAGATCATGATCCGGGAGACCTGGGATCAAGCCCCACATCAGGCTCCCCTGGCTCAGTGGGGAACCTACTTCTTCCTTCTCCCTCTGCCCCTTCCACCTGCTTGTGTGCGTGCACACACTTTTCCTTTCTCTTTCTTGTGCTCTCTCTCAAATAAATAAAATATTTTTAAATAAATAAGGGGGATCCTTGGATGGCTCAGCGGTGCCTGCCTTCAGCCCAGGGCATGATCCTGGAGTCCCAGGACCGAGTCCCACATCAGGCTCCCTGCGTGGAACTTACTTTTCCCTCTGCCTGTGTCTGCCTCTCTGTCTCTCATGAATAAATTAAAAATCTTAAAAAAATAAAATAAATTTTTTAAAAAAGCGGAGGCAAAAGTAAAACTAAACACTGGAAGTCAGATATTCAAACAGGTCTCCTTGTGTAGTGAAATATCCATCAATTCTGCTATTTCTCGTCAGAACCCTCAACCTAAATATCTGGGCCAAGGCAGCAGGAGAAAGAAGCAGCTAGGATCTATTGTACTTCTCAGTCTCCTCAAAACTGAAAGTAATTTGAGGGCAGGAATTATGTCCTGCTTGGTTTTTATGTTCTCCATAGAGAGACCACAGCAGGTAGTCCAAATTCCTGGAAATGAATGACTGAACTTTGGGATGGAAAGCACAATCATGTTACAGTAGCTAGGTAACCTACTTAGCATGGTAATTCTACCAAGACCCTAATTTTAGTAAGAGCTTACTTTCACTGGTGTGAAAAATCAATTTAGGGTGAGTTTTTAAGGTCTGAAGAAAAGATAGGCTGTGTTGAACTGATCTAGGCATAGCTATCATTATTATACTGACAACACCGTTCCTCAGTGCCAGCTTACAGCTACCTGGAAGAACAAAGTCCCAAAGCCTTAAAATGGTCTGTTTTAAGCCAGGAACAACATCTGACTTCTCAGTGTAGCATGATCATACTTCCAGAAAGAAACCCAGACCTAGAGAAATAATGAGTTATGAAAATTATTTTTTATATCTACTGCTGAGCTTGCTTTCACTAGCATAAATTATTACAAAGGAAATCAGACAAACAGATCAACAGACACCATGCAAACTATACCTTTAACTAGGCTTAGTAAAAGCCTTAATAAAACAAACAGGAGACTGCTAAATACCAGATAAATGCCTCTGGAATGAAGAAAACCTGGCCAATAATATTAAGCTTATAAGCCTGGCCTTCTAAAGAGAATACTTACTTGGAATAAAGCAAGGATTCTTATCTTGACAAATAAACAGAACTATTCACTCTCTACAGATGGCATTTCAAGGGCCAGGTAACCTCAGCAGAGGTATCTACTTCATAAAGCTAAACCTCTAAGGAAATGCAAATTTCTGGTCTAGTATTTTACCAGCACTAGTACTGTTTGGGCATCTTATAGTGTTTTTAACATTTTCTCTTTATTCTATGATTTTAAACAGTTTGCTACATATTTAAATATAATTTTTTATAGTCTTAGACTCCAAGTTGGTCTACGGGACAAAAACTCTCCAAGTTTATAATGGAACTAGCAGGCATTTTGATAAATTCATCTCACAAGCAATTTTTCAGCAATCTGTCCACTCTAGAATGCAATATCCATCTGTTTATATACCAAAAGGTATCTATGAACCCAGAATTTAACCCTCTGACACACTCTCAAAGCTCTAACAAAGCCCTTTCTCCTTCCAAAGATGAATTCACAAGCCACTTGTGTAAAACTAGGAAGTCACCCTATTAAGAGGTAAAAATATCATTCAAGACTATCTAGTCCAACTCTGTTGTTTTAGAAAGGAAGACTGAGATCCCAGAGAATATCAGGTAATGACAATTTACATGTCTTTGGCAAATATCAAATGCCTATATCCCCCAGAGGAACCACACTGGGCATGTTGGGAGAATGGCAACTTGCACTTCGGTTAGTGGAGCACTCCTGAGCCTGAGCTTCAGAAAAATCCAAGTATTCAACCACAATCAACCCACCCTTACCCCTACACGGAGAGCAGGGGGCAGTGACCTTTTGGGGATATAAAATAGAACCTACTAATAATATTCCACCCTCCCTGCCTCCTCTGATGAGGTAAAGCCTGCTTATTCACATGAAGGCCATTATAAAGTGACAGACACTAAAACTAAAGAAAAAGAAAGGGTTGTAGAAACAGAAGAGATAATAAGGATACTTGGGCAGATGCCTATCTCTAGTTACTCATTTAAGCAGGGAGAAGAAAGTGAATAGAGAAGGACCTCCAAACCGTTTTTATTCCTCTCTGGCTCCGACCCTTTTGGTCTTTTACAAAATTTCAGGAAGGTCTGAGATTATGATGAAATGGGACCAGAGAAGAAAAGGAATTGGCCAAGCCCACAAATTGAGTCAGTAGCAGGAACCAAACTGAAAAATCCTCAGGCTCATGACACGGCTTCCAGTTTATCTCACTGCACCCCCTCTCTCATCCTGACAGTCTAAGAGCTGTACCCCACCTCAGGTCTGAAACTTTCCTCACAGAACCTAGTGGGCAGTTGCAGGTCAGCAGGCAAACATTACTAGTCATCTTCTCCCCGCTCCAGTTATACATTTTTTTAAAGATTTTATTTATTCATGAGCGACAGAGAGAAAGAGAGAGAGAGAGAGAGAGAGAGAGAGAGAGAGAGGCGCAGAGACATAGGCAGAGGGAGAAGCAGGCTCCAGGCAGTGAGCCCGATGTAGGACTTGATCCTGGGTCTCCAGGATCACACCCTGGGCTGCAGGCAGTGCTAAACCGCTGTGCCACCAGGGCTGCCCCAGTTAAACATTTTATACATGAAGCTAAAATTGAAAAAAACTAGGTTTTCAGGTGAAAACCCTATCTCTACCCTTTCCCCATCACTGCCTCAGAAAAAAAGGGGAGGAGAAAGAGGAAAGAAAATGCCTCTCCAAAAGATATACTGTCTAAATCAACATCTAGAATCATAAAATATTATTGCTAGAAAGGACCCTAGTAGCCATGATTTCCTATCATTATTCAGATGAATAAAGCTGGACCTTTGCCACCTGACAATAAGACTAGATAGAGTACAGAGTTCCTGACTCCTGTCCCAACAAAAATCCCTCGTGGTCCTTCCCCATTCTGTTCCATCCTGACCTGCCCCATCTCACCCTGTACCTCCACCACTGTTATCTAAGCTACTGAGATCTGCTGCCTTTCTGGACACAAGTTCCTGAAGCTACATTTTACTTATCTTTGTTTTCCCAGTGTCTAGCAGGTAGTAAACACAGGTGACTTAGGGCCACAGTAACACATGGAGAGAGCAGTACCAAAGGAAGTTGTCTGGAAAAAATGTTAAGTCTTCCTTTAGCTTAATAAAAGTAATCTTCAGGGCTAAGCAGGGCCTGAATATCCAGGATCTAACATTTCTTCCTTTTCTAAACTACTGTTTACATCATCCGGTTTAGCCAGGAATAGTTACCAGATATGTTGTACAATACTGTCCCCCCTCACCCTATGCTTCTACCCCCCAATCCTCTCCATGGAGAACTTGGCTCAATAACTAGAAGGTAAATGAAAGCAGATTTAAGAAGACCCTTCAAGAGAAAACCACCTCGGGATCCCTGGGTGGCGCAGCGGTTTGGAGCCTGCCTTTGGCCCAGGGCACGATCCTGGAGACCTGGGATCGAGTCCCACGTCGGGCTCCTGGTGCATGGAGCCTGCTTCTCCCTCTGCCTGGGTCTCTGCCTCTCTCTCTCTGTGTGTGTGACTATCATAAATCAAATAAATAAATAAATATATATATATATTTTTTTAAATAAAAAAAAAAGAGAAAACCACCTCGTCTCTTATGTCCTCACCTCAATAATCAGCATCCCCATCTATACAACTGCACCAGGTAGAAATCTAGAAACCATCCTTGATTTCTTCCTTACTTACCACACAATAATCTTTGTGTCTCACTGCTCAATTCCTTCTACACATACACACTCTTCATCTGAAACACCATCATCCCTTACCTGTATTACCACAACAGCCTCCTCCTAAACTGGTCTTTTTGTCCATGGTGCTCTAGGTCTCCAAACCACTCCCCAAACAGGTAGCCAGATACATCCTTCTAAAATGTCCATAGGAAAAAAATAATAATAATAAAATAAAATGTCCATAGGAGCAGAGACCCTATCACCTCGAAATGAAGTCCAAATTTCTCAACCTAGGCAACAAGACCCTTTCATGACTTGGCTTCTACTCTACCTACCCTTCCAGTCTCCTCTCATTTCTTGCCACATCCACCCATCTTTTGCTTTATGCTCCCCCCAGCAATCTTTTTTTTTTTTTAAAGATCTTATTTATTGCTCTTTTTTGCTCAGGCCCTTGGTGCCGGCAGGATGGGCAAGTGTCTGGCCTCCGTACTGCCAGGAAGCTCCGCAGTCACCAAGGGGACCAGAAGTGGCATGATAAGCAGTACAAGAAAGCCCATTTGGGCACAGACCTGAACACCAACCCTTTTGGAGGTGCTTCCCATGCAAAAGGAATTGTGCTGGAAAAAGTAGGGGTTGAAAGCCAAACAGCCAAATTCTGCCATCTGGAAGTGTGT